AAGAAGGTATTCAAGGGTGACCGAACTGGTGAAAAAAGGAAGCTTCCAGAGGAAGGCACTGAAGGGCGAGCCCGTACAAGAAGGAGGATAAATCAAACAACTGTCTGCAATACCTTTAAGGACTGGGCCCAGAAAAGGATGTCCGAATATCACAAAGATAAGTAAAATTTTATGTTACTTTGCAAACATTAAGTTAATCTTTCATTCTTACTGCAAGTGGCAGATTTCAAGAAGTTTTACCTCATGCGAGGTCTACCTTTATCGCCAAAAGGGCGAAAAATGAGTTGTTACCGATTTTGGTATTATGTTTTTCAATTACTCACGTGTAAAACTAAAGTTGATGTATAATAGCGTTGTGTAAAGACTTAAATATTGTAAAAAGTTATTGTATAAATTTTATTTAAAACATTCTAGCAAGAAAGAAGTTTTAGTCTAAAAGACTTTTTGAAATGTAGTATTTCAATGTAGAAAGAATTGGCACTTGCTTTGAAAAGAATAGAAGTTAACAATGTACTACTAATGTATGTTTTCAAAATGTGTAAAATTAACGGCATGTTGATATGTTCTTATATACAATGTGAACTGTTATTTTAAATGTTAAGAAATACCGTGATATGGTAAAAGTGAATGTTAAATTTTTTTTTTTATTTGTGTGACTGTAAAAAGTCTAGATCATGGTGAATATGTGTTAAAGGTTGAATGATGTAGTTAGGCTCTCTGACGCTACACTTCAGAGTTAGACACTTTCAGAATAGTACCTCAGAGTTTAGAGTTGAAATTAGGGTGTGTTAAGAGGTCTTGTTATGTTGAATTTTAACACGTTAGTGTTTTGATTGTAGGAGGAAGTGTGGAACACGTAGACAGAAACACATTCGTGTTTGGTGTTCTTTTACAACACATGTCAGAGAGCACGGGGAGAGATAATTAAAATAGTCATGAATGAAATAAGAATGTTAAGAGAAGTATAATTATACATTTTACTTGCCATTTTCATTGTGTAACATTTCATTAAACTAGTTTTCCTTCCAGATCTCTGGAAGGAACCAGATTTGAATAAGAGCTCCTGTTTAGATGCAGTACAGATGAAAAAAAATTGTGTATCCTGGGAGCTGCTATTGTAAAAACAAATTTCTTTCTTTTAAATTTTTAGTTTCTAGCGAAAAATATTTGAAAAAAATTGGCCTCGCATTAGATTCTAGAGCTAAAAGTTTTCAACAAGGTCGTTTTAGACCTCAGTTTCAAACTAATTAACTCTGGCGGGAAGTATGTAAGGATCTTAAGTTTTACTAACGTTTATTTTATTTTAAATCTTTACTATCACTTCTTATTTTCTACTTCCGGCCAGAATTATAAGCGTGAAGGTATTTATGCAAAGTTTGTCTGGCGAACGCCAAGTATTTAAGTTGTGGCTTTTTTGCCAAGCGAGAGAGAGGAAGCAGTGAGTCGAAGCAGGCTGCTTACCTTAGAAGTTACGCAGTTGCTGTTTGCCTTCCAGGCCAGAGGTTTTAATCCTCTTGATAAATTTAAACATATTGTAGTGTTCACAGTTCTCTGTACTACATACGCTTGATGTTATTATAAGGCCAATCTTCCACGTTTATTATTCTAAAGTTAAATTAGAGTTTAGTTTTATTTTTATACTTTTACGTTTTGACCCCAAGTAGCGGGTCGGTGTATTCCAAAGTACGGAAGTCATTGTAAATAGAGAAAAATAAAGGGTTTTGTATACCCTTCTTGTGTATCCTGTTTACTTCCCACAGTTTTGAACATAGCTTTAGTAAGCTCTCTGTTCCGAGTCAGGTCCTTGCATGTTCCCGAAGAAGGTTAGAAGGAACATTGAACCTGATAACGCTTTTTGCACCCTGTCTGCAACTTTCTTACCTTTTTATTCCAATTTGATCTATATTCGTGTTGTATAATTTATTTCTATTATTATAAGCATTAATAATTAATTTCTATTACTATATGCATTAATAATTATTATATGCATTAATAATCTATTATTATATGCATTAATAATTATATTGTTTTATTTATGCTCTTATTTATTTAAATTTTTCCCGCAAAAAAGTTTGAAAATTATATAATACTAATTTAAAGCATATCCTGTACATATATATTTGAATTTAACAAACATTCTCTATTCGTAAAAAGCAAATTTAAAGTGAATTAAATTTAAATGAAATTTAATGCAAACAAAAAATTATTGATTATTGCTGCGAACTAATCTACAATATCATTTAAATTCTGAGAGCATATGTAAATCAAGTGCAAGTATCAAAATCCATGAATAAATGTATAATTCCAAAAATTTATTAATCCTAAAAAATTTATAAAAATGCATAAGTGAATAATAGGATAGCTTATTAATCCTAAAAAATTTATAAAAATGCATAAAATGAATAATAGGATAAATTTAATCCTAAAAAATTTATAAAAATGCATAAGTGAATAATAGGATAAATAAATTTTTGGAATTATACATTTATTCATGGATTTTGATACTTGCACTTGATTTACATATGCTCTCAGAATTTAAATGATATTGTACATTAGTTCGCAACAATAATTAATCCTTTATTTGTTTGCATTAAATTTCATTTAAATTTAATTAACTTTTAATTTGCTTTTTTATGAATAGAAAATGTTGTTAAATTCAAATTTCATTCCTTGCAGCAATGGCGCAAGAGAATTATTTAAATTTAATTTATTTTGAAACCCTGCAGATATATTATATATATATATTTTTTCGTTTTGACTTTTATGTGAATGTACATACATGTGCTCAGACTTTGGGATGTTTACGGACTCTAAACTTTCATTACCGATTAACATGAGACAGTATTAATGCCCTAAACATTTTTTAACAAAAATATTACTATAATAATTGCTTTTAAATTCAGTCCTCTTCCAGCAGAAGAGCAGGAATTAATTAATTAAATATTTCCATTTTCTTTACCTAATTGTGTGTACATATAAAGAGAAAAATCTTATTTTTATAACTTCTATAAAAAGAGATATAAATTAAAAATGTTTAAATTAAAAATAATATTTTATGGATTATGCATAAAATATAACTGCCCATAGTGCATTTTAAAACAAACGAGATTTCTAATAAGTCATCCAGCTATGCCCCTGAAGCATTACAAATTTTGCGTAAATATCGTGAACCTTTCTTTACGGTTGCTCTGCACTTTTAAAGTACCAACTATTTTTTAATCCCTTTAACTTTTTTATTTTATTTATTTATTTGTTTACTTTTTCACTAACAGTACATTTTAGTTTTAATAATATATATATTATTTCATAATATTTAAGGCTTCTAGAAACACATTTTTCTTTTTTTTTTAATTTACTTAAGCTTCTATGGAATTAGTGACGTTCATAATATGCATTATAACCTTACTTATGTAAAAATTGCTAGCGTACTTTACTTTCGCAGTTCATAAGCAGAAATAAAAATTTCCAATAACATGGAATTTAGTAAACAAAACTTTTCTGCGTTTTACGTCAGGATCCATATCAAATCCAAAACAAACAATACTCGCTTAAGCGGGAAAAATTCAGATGTTCAGCATCTTAACTCGCAAACTGCTTGTTTGGCGCCAAAATATTACAGTGACACCTAGCGGTGGAAAATGAAAATATTTTACGGATATGCAGCAGTGGAAATGCTTGTACAGATGCCATAGGCGTGTCTTCAATTGACGCAACGCGTTCGTACGCAGTAGTGGAAACGAACCTTGAGGGAAGGGATGCCTTCGTGGAGGACTTTCTAAGGGAAACTGGCTCATATACACATTACACATGGGGAAAACCACTAAAATGCCCATGCAGATAGCCCGTTCGCAGGATTCGAACCTCGGACCAAACTACCAGTGTTCAGCGACTTTACCGCTCGGCCGCTTGTGGGGAAAAATAGAATAAAAAAAGGAATTGGATATAAATCAGACATGCGAATCTTTTCATTAGCACGTAGCGATTTAAAGAGCTCACCTCTGTTTACGCTTTCCCTCCCCACCCTCACAAGAGCTGATGAGTAAAATACCAAAGTCAAGCTGAATATATCTAACTCAAGGTCAAGAACCTAAAACTGTGTTAATTTCAAAAGTAATGGACATATGATGCCATCTAATGGCCTTCAGAAAAACATTCCAGCTTAAAATGCGTATATGCATCACCCGTCCTCTGAATGCAATCTCTAGTGATGCATGGATGGGATGCCCGGTTGTAAGAGACGTTCTTAGGGATTGCGTATATGGGACGCCCGTCCTGAAAGGGTTAATATGCATATTTTGTAAGCTTGATACAATGGATTAATTTTACAAACTTATGTGGACTTGCACAGTAAAAATCAAAAGTTCATATCAGGAATAGAATCAATAAATGCAATTTATTACTACTTTTATTTGTTGGACTTTTTCTTAACTATTAATTTTTATGTACTTTATTGTTTATCATATTGCTTATCAAAGTTCCACACTATCTTGAAACCAAAATTTTACAATGAAAAAGATGAAAATGGCACGCAATGCATTTAATCAAGCCACATTTTGCTCTATGCATGCAGATAGCTAAGTCCAAAATTTTGTCAAAGACAGAAAAACTGCAAAATAGTATACAGTCCACTCTTAGCTAAAATTCTCAAATTCCCACAAGGAATCGCAGTCTGCAGACATACTGGTGAAAATGTCTGGAGAAGTGGAAGGCTGTCTCGGGGATGCTATTCACACACTCGGGTTGCCAAAAAAATACATTTTTGCAACATTGTGAGTAGCCAGTTTAAATACCTTTCGATGGCATGATGTGTTGCTTCACTGATACTTTTCCAAGGCTTTTCTATTGAGGTCTGGATATTCTGAGAGTACCCAAAAGTTTCCAAATAAGCTAAGCACAGCATTAATAAACTGATTCATACAGACATATATATCATCATAAACCACAACTTCTACATATGAAAATACATTTATAAGCACTGTTAAAAAATACATAAAACCAACCTCTTCAGCAGCAAATTTCAGAACAGCTGTAAATGGAGTGTTTTCTGGTACACTTAGCCTGCAAAAATATCAAATAATTTTTTTTTTATAATTAAAAAATCTTCTGCTTATATAGATTTATATACTGAATTTCAAAGAATTTTTAAAAAAATCATTGTTGAAAAGTATCAAGCACATTGTTTACTTTTTACACGAATTTAAAAAGAAAAAATTTAAAAAAAAAAAAAAAAAAAAAAAAAAACATATAGCACAGTATGGAATGCTGGGGTAAGTGACTTTTTTGGATGTGTGGGATTTAAAAACTATCTCACTTCCATTTAGAGACAAGAACAAAATTCTTTTCTAAAGTTCTAAAACACATCATTAAAGATTCCTGTCTTAAAGCTGAAAAATTATCTCTTATTAGTCTGCGAGTTTTAATTCTGTAGTGCAAAACATGTGATGATTTTAAAAGTTTAAGTTTCAAGTTCAATAAGTTTGCCAAAAGTTTGTTATAAGCAACTAATTTTAGAACAGAAAGAGGAAATACCCAAATTAAAATAAAGGTTTAAGGGTTTATTACACATTTAATTCAGAATTTTGATGTGCATAGTTTTTTTTATTTTATCAATGTAATGTAGATTCTTATACATTGTTGGTGTTGCGCAGTCGGGTGAACAGAAATGAGATAAAATTTTGAATATAAAATTATACATTTATTTCAACATCCATCTCAAAAGCTATTTACATTCATCCTGCATGCTATTTGCATTCATCCTGTATGCTATCGATAAATTCGAGAAGCCCTATTTATAGATATGTGAGCATCATGATGCTCATCCAATCAGTAATGCTAATCGTGATCATGAGGTGATGCTATCTTCTCATCAGAGTGTTCTATAAGGACTTTATATAATATGACAGATTTATGGGTTTGGTGATTTGGAAGGTGCCAATAGGTTAATATAATTTATAAGAAAGAAAGGATTTTGCCAAAAATTAGAAACAGGGATGCAATTTGGGTATAGAATCACTAACACATTATTTAGGAATATGATTAGAATTTAATTTAATTAATTCATTCAAAAATATCATTACAGATTAAAAATACCATTACATCAATGCATGTAGAGAATAAACAATCCCTTTAATTGGCAGGTGAAAAGGAAATAGCGTTAATGAAAACCAAAGGCATTTTATTGAATACATGTTAGTACAGTAAGCATGCACCCTTGGTAAAGAGGAACATTTTGAATTTTGTATAAAATAAAGCCAATTTTATTCTATCACAAAATTCCCTAAATATTCAGTTGCCCTTCAGAAAAAATTAAACTGTGTTGCTTCAAGTAACATAAATATAATATGAATTTCAGATTTTACAAAATGATACAAATATATATATTCAAAAGTGAAAAATCCACAATTTCATGCCAAGTATATTTACAACATATTGTACCTGCATATTTCATCTACTATCCACCAGAAATTTCTGAAACACTTTTTAAGGATTAACGAAACTTTCTTCTTTCTCAGAACATTCAGAAAACACAATTCCGTAAGTTTCAAAATTGATTCATCAATGTAGTGATTGTTTTAATCTTATTAACTGATTTGTTCAAGAAATATGGGTCTATAGGCTCTGATTGATAAAGTAATAACTGTGAAGAGCTTCAAGACAACAGAGCTATCTAATGTCCTCGAAAGTTCAGAAGATCTTCCAGCAGCATTAGATGATTTGAGGTGTAGTAATGATCAACAACAAAAATGGGCAAGATTAAAGATAACAAGGAAGCAGAAATGAAGATATCTTGTTAGATAGTGCAGTGGTTAATATGTTACGTATTTTTATAGAATTTAAGTTTATTTTAAATGAGTAATATTTTGATGGTTAAAAGTAGTTTATCCATATAATTTGTTTCATATTTACTATAACCCCATCCTTCAAAAATTGAAATTATTCTCATAATTTTCCCCTCTCAATTTTCATACAACAAAATTAGTTTAAAAAAAAAAAAAGGTTTGGGAGGAGGATACATGAGTAAATATGGTAATTAAGACATAAGAAATATTAAATAATAAATAAAAAACAGCTTCCTTTAAGCAAAGAATTGTAAAAAATCTATTTATACAAGAGAGTAAATACTCTAATGTAATAACATTGCAAAAGATTTAATTTTTTTATTTCAACTACAGTACAAAGTCCGTAATCCGAACGTCCATTATACAGAATGATTTATAATCCGGACCTCAAAGCCACAAACTTTCTTCGCTTAATGTTGCAGATTGCGCTGTTCCTTTATATTCTAATTGGATCCGGCTTATTATTTTTTGAGACTGTTAGAGCAATTTTATAAAAATTAAGCTTGAACATTTGATTATGTCAAAAAGAGTTTCCAATTCTGGAGCTGCCAAAAGATCTACAGAGCGAAACCATGTTTTGATGTCCATCAAACAGAAAGTGGAATTGCTGCAAAAAATGGATAACAGAACATCTGTCTCAAAATTATGCAAGGAGTATGGCATTGGATGACACAAGAAAAAAGAAAAAGGAATTTTTTGTGGAAGCATCTTAAACAACTTACATTGAAAGAAATGCTTAATGAAGTAAACAAATAAATATTAAGCTTTTTTTCATAAATTTTGATACCCTGATCATAATTGCTCTTTATTTCATAAATTAAGGTTTCATATTTTTAATTGTATAATTTCTACATGTCATCTTACCAGATTTAAATTATGATCTATAATCCGGAAAAAAACCCTAATCCGGAATTGAAGAAGTCCCGACTTTGTACTGTATAAGTAAAATATGGACTTTGTACTGTATAAGTAAAATAACTATAAAAATAATTTATCTGCTTACACCTTAAAAGGTAACTTAGGATCAGATGTCAAAGTGATCTTGAATGTAACCTTGGACCTGGAAGAAAATTTACATTTTGTTAATATTCCACATATAAAATTCACAAATAAAATAAATCACATCTCTTTCGATAATGCACTTTCATTTATAAAGTAAACAAATGAATGGAAAAATTAATTGTACATTTTGTAAATGCTGTAACTGTTTTGAAAATAAACACTCATTCACAAAAATAAAACAGTGTTAACAAAAACAATATACCAACTTAAAAAGCAATCTACTATCCAGATCTGTAAAAAATGTGTACAGTTAAATTTTTGATTAAATAATTAAGTTATGTCTACTAACTTAAATTACCTGAAAAAATAACTCAAAAATTTCATAAAATAAAATTATCACAGAGAGACAGTTTTAAAGGATCACACATTTCAAGGATCCTTAAATAATTAATTTTAAAAAGAACAGTAAACATACTTTGTACCTTAAAATAAAGAACCTACCAACGCTTAACAAATGCTGATTTCAAAAATCTGCAACAGTTCTCATGACTCATGTGGATAAATTAATAATGGTACAATAAGCAAAGATTATCTACTTAAAGGGAAAATGCTTCTATATAGAACTTTCATATGGAAAATGACTTGTATTTACACTGCACACGAGGAGAAAAAACAATCTTTTCATAGGAACCAAACTTGGCATAAACTAGCAGTGTTTTACTTCTTTAGCCACTTAGTCATTTTTATGAGTGGAGGATACTACTCGATATGAGTGGCATCTTAATGCAAATAACTAAAAAGTAAATTTCAGCCTTATTGAGCTAATTTCTGAAAAATTCTGTAAAATTTATTTGTATGCAGGATTAATGCTAGGCATTTTGCTGTTCAGTTCAAATCTGTAGGGCCTAAATTATCTGCCTGAGGCCTCCCAAAATTGTAAAACTTTTGCTGCCCTTAAATTCTCCTAAATTCTAACCTGTACCTCTCCTAAATTCTAAAATTTCACATCAGTAAATTTTATTGCTTGATACATTTCTAAATTCTCAAATATTTTTCATCCTTAAATTCTGTCATATCAATTACACTCACTAAAGTACAGGTCCTACTTATATATTTGCAAAGCAAAACTTGGTTGATCTTTACATTATAATAACTTGGCGTTTTTTTGGCGAAAATTTGGCAACCAACTCTCCTACAGCAACTTTCTACTTTTTTTTCCTGCCGCCATTTTGTCTTCACGAAGTAAAAACATATTCTTTTCTTTTTATCTACTGAACACTTCTTCCAACAATCTACTAGCCGAATTACACTTATGCTACAAATTTTATCTAAAAAAACTGCTTAATTATGACAAATATTCACTGCAAAATTGGGAAAAAGTGCACAATACCATACTCCTTACGCGTTTTTTCAAAATAACACACACACATAAACCATGTACACGCGCTGACTTATTTTTACTTAAAAAAACATCCCAGAATTGCACAAAAATGGCATTGCGCACACTCTTCACTATATCCCATGTACACTGCTTTTTTCTCATAAATTAGAAAAATTTCATGAAAATACATGACAATTTTTCTCAATCTTTAAACCCGGTAAAAAGAACATATATGAAATTACCCTGATCGCGAAAAAGTATTTACCCTTTCCAAATATGAACATTTCCACATATAAAATAAATAAATATCCAAAAACTTTTACCTCTAAATCATCTATTACATATATACACGTCACCAACGAATTCATACCGCAAGCATTACCAATACTTAGTATCAAATATTTAAATTATTTCCATGCACGTTTACTTCAACTTAAACGTATAACCAAATTCCCTACAAACATAAAATTCACAAAATAACTATCATTTAATTAAAATACCACTAAACCATGTACAAGCCGACTTATTTTTACTTAAAAAAACATCCCAGAATTGCACAAAAATGGCATTGCGCACACTCTTCACTATATCCATGTACACTGCTTTTTTCTCATAAATTAGAAAAATTTCACGAAAACACATGACAATTTTCTCAATCTTTAAACCCGGTAAAAAGAACATATATGAAATTACCTGATCGCGAAAAAGTAATGAACATTTCCACATATAAAATAAATACAATATCCAAAAACTTTTACCTCTAAATCATCTATTACATTATACACGTCACCAACGAATTCATACCGCAACCATTACAAATACTTAGTGTCAGATTTTAAATAATTTCCATGCACGTTTACTTCAACTAAAACTTATACCAAATTCCTACAAACATAAAATTCACAAAATAACTATCATTTAATTAAATATAATTAAATTCAAAAACACTACTTAAAATATAATGAGCACATACATTAAATTAATACATACATAAATACCCATTTGGAATTCACTTTAGTTTACGGCCATGGGATCCAAAATTCACGAACACTCTTTCACACAACACACAATGAACCTAAATAGAAAATGCTATAAAGAACTGCAGATATTTTTCCCAAATTTTCCCCCTTTTCCGATTAAACAACCTGATTCGTCCATAAATGTCACATGATATATCTCATGATCTCTCATTTCTCTCACCACAAAATAATGCGTAATTGGAATTGGATACTTCTCACATTATTCCCCAAGTCCTAGGTAGTAACCTTTATCGCCTCCAAAATGTCGCCAAACTACCAGTTACCATATTGTAAAGATCAACCCAAAACTTTTTACTACCAGCACTTAACAGCTGAAACCTTTGTTGACATACAGAAATTCAAATAAATAGCAAAAAATGAGGGAAAAAAAATTAAGAAATTCAGATGACTGGGAAAATAATGTGTATATAAGGAGGAAAATATTTGAAGAAAGAAAAATTATTTAAAAGTATTTATTTAACACATTATGTCATCAGATATATGGATTCATAGAAAATTACTATGGCTCAAAAACTAACTGCTCAGTTACTGCTATGTCATTATATAAACTGAATTCATCAAATAATTTTCCAACTTCATATCCTGAAATTTCACATGTGTTACTTTTATCTAAAAGCTCATAGAATAAAACAAAATTTTCATAACATCTAAGTTCACTCAATAAAATGCAAATCTACATGTTTGTTGAACACTGATATATAATGAATCCCTGATCACACACAAGGGGAAAAAATACCTAAGACAGAAAATGCAATGCACAGTGTGCAAAAAAAAAAAGGGGGGGACAGTTCTATATTTCTCGTTCTCTTGAGCTGATTGACGAATTTCAAATTGCATTTTCCATGTCTGGAAAGTGCGACTTGAGATATATAGGATATATGTTAGATTTATATATAGCTTTGGTCTAACGTAGGTATTTTGACACAAAATCAGACTTTTCTGAAATAGTATTACCAATTTCTATGACTCAAATTATGCCTAGATATTAAATTTTGTAATTCTTGGTGAGAAATTTATGTAGAAATTTTAAAATTTATCTTACCAAATTTTTCTCAGTTTGCACCAAGAATAATTCCCTTGACAAACTTCTTAATTTATAGCAACCTGGTTTCCTTTCCATTTTCTTCATTATGCAAGAGCAGAAAAATGCCATCGTTCATATTTTCAAATAATTTTAACAAAGTGAATAAACCATATTTTTGTTATTATCGCTTATAATAAACATGACAAAATTTAAATCGCATCAAAATGTAAATTCAAGTACAACTTAAGAAATTTTGAATAAAAGACACTAATTTTTTGCAGGTACACTTAGAAACACATCTACTTTAAGATGAAGGCACAAAACTTTTATAGGTTATAATTCAAAATTTTTTCGAAAAATTTATGAAAGTTATTTAAAAATAAATCATAAAAATGGGTCAATTTGATTTGGAATGAACCTAAATTTTTAAATATGAAAGGAAAAATCAAATAAGTTTAATAAAAACGAGATATTAATAAATATATATCAAATTCAATTAACATTGAGAAGCTGATTTTTTTGAAAATTGCTCGTGCAATTTTTACAAAACTTGGCAGTTTGGTATAATTTTAGTCGTAGAGTTGAAATATGGAAAAAAAATTGGCATGTCATTTCAGAAAAAGTGCGATTTTGTGTCAAAATACCTATATTAGAACAATGCTATATATAAAACTAATACATATTCTACATCACACTTTCGAGACATGAAAAATGCAAGCTGAATTTCGTCAATTGACCCAGTAGAACGGGAGATATACAACTGTTCCTTTTTTAAATTTTTTTTTTTTTTTTTAATTTTGTGCAGTGTGCAATACCTCATTGACTTTCAACTGTCATTTTCATATGTATATGCAAACAAATGAAATATAATATTATACTATATGTGTAATATGATAATATTAAATGTAATATTATTAATATATCTATAATTTATAATATGACACAAATATTTTTAAAAAATATTTTAACAAAAATTTTCAAAATGGAGTTGAGATAAATAAATGATTAAAATGATAGCTTTCTATCTTGATCTAGTATATACTTTCACAAAATAGAGTACTTACATAATTAATACAATTCTGCTCCAGAAAACTAGACACCACTTTTATCTAAAAAAATAAATCAGTACAGATAAAAATATAGTTTTGAGTATTAAATTATTCACAATCCAAAATTTCTGAATGGAATTGCAAAATGTAATTTTAAGCTTCACGTATTTTGACAAACGAATAGAAATGTATAGAAAAAATAAAGATAAAGACTTTTATTTGCTGTAACATAACTATTTTATTACTACAATAAATTACAGTATTACAGTATTAATACATTTTTAATATGTTGACATTAATAGCAAATTAAGTTACACTGTTCTTAATGACAACAAACATAATTATTAAATAAATTTTTATTACATTAATTATTTGAGAAGTAAGAAAAATATAATCAAGCCTCTGTAATACACTAAGAAATAGAAAAAGTATAGATTCCCATCTGTATTGTTATACTTTTTTATTATTACATTATAATATATGATGCAAATTAGCAGTGGGGAGAAAAATCTGACTGGATGTTTGCTATAATTAAAAAAATTCTACTTCAACTCGCAGACAACTCCATAAAATACACAAAACACCATATTTACCTTCTGTTAAAAGGAAGAATCCACGTCCAACACAGACTAAACTTGAAATAATTTGGTACCACTAGACGGATGTGCGCATAAATCAAAATTCCGTTTCTGCGCTGCTTGTCGGATGAATAACACCTAATAAAATTTTTCCCTGTTTGTTATAAACAAGGAGGTTAGAATAGGAACAAACAAGAAGGTCTATTCTAACCTCCTAGGTTACAAATTAGGTGTTGTTAAAATGAGAAGTGCAGGAGCCATCTGAAAGTAGGGCAGGAAATAAATAAAATAACTAAATTAAAATAATTAAGTAAAATATATGGATATAAGTAAAAATCTAATAAGTTATCAAATTCATGATAAATAATTAAATAAAGGAAATAAATATCAAACCTCGTCATATTTACAGCTCCAGCTGGAGTTACAGTTTCTTCAAAAACTTAAGAAATAGCTCGGCTTAAGAAATAGCTAAAGAACAATGTTTTTTTGATAGGGCGTAAATTTTTCATTCCAACGCTAGTGTTCCCCGCGGAAAAGAGCATCTGCAGACTTTTTGGTACGATGTAACCGAAGACGGAGGACGAAAATTGTGACTTGCTTACTTTTTCCTTAGCTAACCCTCGGATTTGGAGAAAATTTGTTCCCCATTCATTTTTTGCTTGACAGCTAGAATTATATTGACAGGAGATTATGGTCAGAAAATGCTAGACTCTTCTCTCTTTGTTAACTGTTAAATAATTTAATGATTAATCACTTTGTCATTTTATTAGTTATTTTATTTATTTATTTATTCTTGCTCCTCTTTCCTGATGATCTTCCATAGAGCTGCGGCACTTTTAATTTTAGAAATTAAGTCTTCCTTTTAGAGTGATAATAAACCGTCTGAAGTAATAAAGAAATATTTGCATTAAGATTTCTGCCTCATTATACTATATTTGATTCATTTTATTGTTTGAAATAAGAAATTCAGCATGGCCTAATAAGATTCTATAAATACCAGCTACCATAATTTTTTTGGGGGGAAGCGAATAATTGAAAAAGAAATCTAATTTATGATGGCGGTAAATTGTGGTTCAGGGTGAGCTGTGAAAAAAAAGCTTTAAAAATGTCAACCCTTTCGTAGACCTTGTTCGTTCGTAGGCTTGTCGACGTAACACATTTGAAAAGCATCTAAATAAGCTATCTTAAAATATGACATATGCGCATAATTTAAAAATATATTTAATATATTTGTAAATTATGCATTATAAAGCAACAAAACCAATTTTCTATTCATTGCCTCTTCCTGGAATGGTGGGAGTTAATTGTTAGTCCAAACGGGCTTTGTCCCTGAGGGACTATTGTTCCCTTTTGCGATTTTGCGTCGAATCACTCTGAATGTCCGTTTCACTTTTAAAACTTTTGCCACCAAATATTGACGCCCTGTATTATATTTGAAGAAATTAAATAATGAAGATTCTGCATAAATGTTTATCGCATTGTGATAAAACAACGGTACCTAGAGCCATCCAATTTTGAGTAACGTGATCCTACTGCGAATATGGCCCTCTGGAAGCCCAAATTTGAAATTTGGAACTTGTTTTACTATCTATTTCCTATTTTGTGAAACGTTAACGAATTTCTGATTAATAAAAGCAAGGATTTCAAAGCGAGCAATGGCAACGTTGTATAGAAAAAACATTTTTTTATCTCCAGCGCGGAGACTCTGTATCGGGAATTCTAAAGATAAGCTCAATTTAAAATTATTTTGCGATATTGCTCTTGAAATGAATTTTATGGGGTAAGTGCGTGAACATGATATTTAATAAAAAAAAGTTAACACACAAAATGTTAATAAAACGCCCCCTTGGACGTAATTTACAATCTGAAACTTTTCAGATTTTCTTTTTTTGAACTACTGTCAATGATAATGGAGTTGATGTTTATCTTAAATGCAGAAAATGCTTCCTTGAAACTCAGAAAATAATCTTAGTGGTAGATAACATAACCTAGAGCCATTTAAGGAATAATAGATTCAGCATTCTGTCCTCAGAAAAAGAATTTTTTTCTTAAGATCCCTTGGTTACACACTTCGTTTAATGATTCACTACTGTAAACGCATTGCTTCTTGGTATCTCCACAATAACATCAAAGGCAAGTCTATTCAAAGCAAAAAGTTTAAGAAAGTAACTTGGGGTGATCTGTGAGCGGAATGATGAACTCAAGTAATGCATTCGAAACCTTTAATGTCTTACAGAATTTGATACAACTTAAAATTAATTTAGAAGTTAATTTGTCCTCCGAATTAATGAGAAATCTATGGTAATCGAAAGCTTTTTAGAATTTCTAATAAATATGATGACAGTCACAGGTTAGGAAATGATGGTACCTTTAAAAAAAATTCTAGAATCCGTAGGATTTGAGGACAACATATATACGGCTTTATTCCCATAAAATGAACATGCAAGAGAACTACGTGGTGATTCTGAGGTAGCAGAAAAACGATTTTAGTCGTTGCGACGCAGATTTGAAAATCCGAAATTCCATGAACATTACAAAGCTACGATAGATCAACATTTACAAGAAGGTGTCACGGAAGAATCAGAGTACTTAAACACTGAAAACGAGTACTTTTTATAGCACCATGAAGAATCCAAAATTTCATGTAAGTTTTACAAAGTTGTGATAATTCAATATTTATAAGAAGCTATTCCAGGAGAGTCAGAGTAATTTTTTTAATGGCCAGGCGCTTTACTTAGGCTGATGGCTATTAAGATGAAGAGACGAACAGTTACAACCATGTATTCTTCGGAATTCGAATTCCGAAGTTCGGAGTTCTTCGGAATCCGTGCCCATCGCTAGGGCAGTCAGGATCACTAACCACTATACCGTCTGGGCGACGATTCAGAGCATTTAAAAACTGAAGAGTACTTTTTCACCGCATCAAACTGCAATTAGAGAGAACAAAAGCCACCACAAAATTTCGCGCAGTCTTCAATGCATCATTAGACGCTGAAGGCAAACTGTCACTGAATGATTGTTTAGAATCAAACGGTTCTTTTCATTTGAAGGAAATGGAAAGAAATACGAAATCATGAATTCATTCCATGTATCCTGTTTCACTATTATAAAATGCGGCTTTTAGAATATCTAATTGCGGCTCCCGAACCTTTCCGAATTCCAACATGTGGATTACTGACATCATCTCTGCTATCTGTTGTTATGAAATCAACTATATTACGTCTCAGAGATTATTAGTGATACCTTATATTTCAAAATTTAGACTTATCATTACATGTGCAGTGTCTGGAAGCAATTGCAAGTCAATTTCACCTGGACGACTCTTGGCTTGTAAGAAATATGCTAGCTTACTTTTACTGTAAAGTTGAAGCTATTAACCCTCTCAATATCACATTATACATAAACCCTATAAAGATGTTAGTCACCATTGAATATTTAAACTGTGAATTGCTAATTAAAGTCATTCTGTATTCATCAGCCATTCTTATGTATTATTATTATTATTATGTATTATTATTATACTATTATTCGAGTCATCTGGAGCACACTGAGCATGCTTGCGATACTTTTACAGGCGTATCTTAGGCTCAGATGAAAATTATGTGTCAGATGACGGTAACAGGCACGAATATCAACTATGCCCAGTTTTTCCTGAATCCAGTTTATTTCTTGAACACCATGGACAGTTGTAGATTTGTCTGGGATGCAATTTTGCACAATTGGAAATTGGTTCCGGTTGGTCTTAGTAATAGGCCCAAACTAGGTAGGCATATCTTATCACGGAACGCAAGATATCTTTGTATATTAGTAACTTCTGGTCTATAGGATACGACCGAGTTTCGGGTGATTAAGAAGCAGAGTCTTTGAAGTAAGCTTAGGAAAAACTGGAGATATTAGTAGAAATCCCTCTACCAGGCTTTCAGTTAGCAACTGCTCATGAACTTGGCGACGATCCTAAGGTTTCATAAATATTGTAACGTTCTAAGGGTTTGTGGATTTGGCGTGATTGACGATAACATTTAGAGAATCAAAACACTGTTTATTCGCCAGTATTACACAGTCGATTTCTAAAGACACTTTTAGAAAAGCCTTTTTTTTTCGACGTCGAGAAACTACGATACAAGCTGAAACAATCACCAACACAGCTTTCAGGCTACAACGGTGAAGACGGCAAAGCACTAAAGTTGAGTTCCCGACTCGATTCGGTCGCTCTCAAGTTAATCTCTGAACTCAAATCACTACTGAATTCAACATACTTTCTCGATAAACTACTACTTCGCGCACAGGCAAGGTATTTATAGCTTTTGACTTGCCTTCAAAAACAATCGCAGGGCCCACCAGCGGCCGAGCGGTAAAGTCGCTGAACACTGGTAGTTTGGTCCGAGGTTCGAATCCCGCGAACGGGCTGGCTGCATGGGCGTTTTCCCCATGTGTAACGTGTATACGAGCCAGTTTCCCTTAGAAAGTCCTCCACGAAGGCATCTCTCC